ACGACGGTTGATTCTAACGTGCCAAAGCACGTGGCTGAGCTGAAATGAACGCAAAGCAGGAGGGAGACGTGAGCCGTGTAACTGACGTCTCGTACAGCCCAGCAGCCTGGTCCTGCTTACTCATCCCCCGGACAGGCACGTCTCTTCACTGGGTGCTCACTGAGTGACAGGAGCGAGTCGTTAAACACGTGGGTGCACATACACATAGGCGGGAGTGGGGGTGAACGGGTACCTACGTCTGAGCTAGCGCTGACAGAATAGGCTTCTTAAACACAATTCCCTTTATTTGACTGATAACTCCGCACCATTTTTCTTGCTCTGTTCCCCTCTCAAGCACAGTTACTGTCGCATTGGTGAGAAAAGCTACCACAATACCTGCTTTTTAAAGAACCTCCCTTGAAATTGAAGTTGCTGTTACATGTCACAGCTAATTCAACTTACAGAGCACCAGGATCCAGTCTCAAAAAAGATATTTTGACAATTTTTATCCCAACTCCTGCCTTTTGTGACTATCTTAACCATCGTGTTGCCATCTAGTGCAATGACTAGTGCCATCTAGCCGTCAATGACTGTCACAAGGATCAGTTCTAGCTGTTCACAGCCGGGGTCACGTTCAAATTTTAAGGTTAGCTTAATACGAGAGAGAAAAGACAACAGAAAAAGCCATTAAAAAACCCCCCAACAACCTCCCCCAGTTATTTGGATTTCACAAGGGAAAATGCAATGCACAGACAAGACTGCTCTCTAACGAGTTTAGGAAAAGATTCCCTACCCAGTGCTCAGAACACGTCCTGGCTTTGTTTTTTCTTCAACATATAAATTTACTTTTGTTAGTCATTAGGTTACTTTGGATTTACAGGGAAGTAACTGGAAGCGATACAGGTTAAAGTTTTCTCTATGGAGACATTTTAGCTACTATTTGTACCCACACCACACAACCTTTAGGTACTCTTTAAAGAGCAAAGATTGCTTTTCCCAGTTATTTCTGGCCAAATTTCAGCTTTTCTTCTAGGACTGGTTTCAGTGAGCCATATTATTCTTCTGGAGCAACACACAACAGACTTTGGATGGAGCAAACCTTTAGTCCATCTGGAAAGTAAATTGCAGACTGTAGCAGCTGCATTAAATAACTCAGAGCAACAAATATGTCACAGCCATTCTCAGCGCATGGTGACTTCAAATAACTTTCATCTGCTGAGCTGCAAATAGGTTGGTACTTTCCCACCTGTGGTATCAACACTTTAGAAAAAAAAAAAGTGTTTAACACCACTTTAGTAAGACACTGCAAGAATTGCAAACCGGATTTTTGGTCTAGAGAACCTTAAAACTTGTAGTTCACATCTCCTTACCTCACCTAAGTAGCCCAAATCTCCCCAGTTTTAAGGATCTATTGTGCCTATCCACTATACTTTGGGGATTTAACTATTCCAAGGTTTTAAATACAGGGGAAGGTGAACATAAAGATTTAGACAAAGTAATTCTATTTCCAATGCTTTTCTGACATAATACTTTGTTTTCCCTGATAGTAAAAAAACAAAAACAAACCCCAAGCACTGTTAAGAGTGCTTTGCTTATAGCTCCTCCCCCAAATAAACAAGCCTCACATTTTTAGCCATTATAAGTGATCCTTTTTACAGATTTCTTGCATATAATTCAACCCTCTTCTGAGAAGAGGGCAGCAACAATTCAAGCCAGTACTTATTTTCTTATAAAAAGAAACTTGCTGTTCCAGATTGCAAGACAAGCAAGAAAACAACAGCCTGACTTGTGTATCTAGTGTAACTGGCAATAATCAGTTCACTGAAGTCTTTCTGAGATTCACAATGTATAAGAAGAGCATAGGAAGCCTATGGTTGTAGGGTCAACCGCTCAGAGACACTAAGAAACACATAATTCATTAAGTAGTATTTGTCTCTTTGAATTGTTACCACTAGCTCACTGCCATGAGAAAAAAAAAAAATCTTCAAGATGAAAGGTTTGTGCTGCTGCAGTGTTCGTCAGAATCCACTAATGTTCCAAAGAAAGGGCCTTCGCTCTTGGGAGAGTACAAAATTTCACAGAGAACGTGGCTGGAAAATCCTGCAGCAAACAGGCAAATTATCTTACCTACAGACTTTGAGGGGGGAACCAACAACCCTTGCAGCTCCTTAGACAAACAGTTTAGCAGTGAAGGCTGACATGTTTCTCCACTACAAACCACCTTCCTCTCATTCCAGGGAGGCTGCCTGTCATACCACACATTCGGATCGAAGGGGAAAACCCAGCCCGTTTCGATAATTCCAGGGTATTTATTCAGGAATAAATAGGTAACACAGCAGAATCATCTTAACCCTTCCCTCCTGGCTGCTGAGGCAACCTGAAGCCCACTAGGCCGGCGACCTCCTCAGGCGAGCGCTCGCCCTTGCCGTGGTACTCCTGGTGAAGGGCCGTGTGCTCCCGGACACTGCGGAGCAGGCAGAGGTAGGTGGCTGCCTGGAAGTGCAGCTCCTGCTGGGCCCGGCACAGCTTCTCGCTGGTGACCTGCCGAGAAGAGGGGACAAGGTCCGGGGATTTCACCTCTCCCCGGGGCCAACGGCTCCCCCGCGCTGGGCTGCGCGGCCGCAGGCAGGGGTGCCCCCACTTCACCTCCCCGGGGGGGTGTGTGTGTGT